CATCAAGATAAAAGCTGCCATTGTCACCTCCCCGTGGGTCTCACCCACATCTGTGTCACCCAGTCCACGACCAAAAGACAAGCACAGTTTCTTCACGTGTCTCTAGGCTCCATGTGCCTCCTCCAGGTCTCCTGGCTCCATCCTGCTTCCTTCCTTCCTCAGTCTCTTCTGCTTCTCCTCTTCCTGCTCAGCTCCACCCTCCCTTGGGTGGGGCAGGGAACCTCCCCCTTTCCTGGGGACCACCCTGTTGCACGGGGAGGCCCTTAAAATATTTATTGAAGTGTAATTTACCATCAATAAAATTTACCAAATAGTAGCACACGTTATAGTGAGTTTTGTTTACCCAAAAAAACTATCAAAAAATAACGACATAATCACAATGTAGGACATTTATGTTTCCTAAAAAATTTCCTTAAATCCCTTTATAGTCAATTCTATCCTCCTCTCCAAACCCTAGAAACTACTGGTCAACTTTGTGTGACTATATTTGGCCTTTCCTAGTATTTTGTATAAATGGTATATGCTTTTTGTGTGTGTGTGTGTGTGTGTGTTTTTTTACTGAGCACAACACTTCTGTGATTCATCCGTGTTGCTGACTTTATTAATAATTCATTGCTTTTTATTGCTGTGTAGTATTCCATTATATGGATATGTTATTTATTCATTCAGTTGGCAAACTTTTCAGTTGATGGACTATTATGAATAAAAATTCCATCAGTAATATAAATAAAAAGAAAATTTAAAAAATTCCATGAATATTAAAGTACCTCTTTGTGTGGACATTTTTCTTTTCTCTTGGTTAGATACATAAGAACAAGATTATTGACTCATATATTAAGTGCACATTTAATCTTCTATGAAACTACCAATGTATTTTCCAATATCAATAGCTGTTCCATTTTGCATTTCCACAGAAATGTATAATACTTCCAAAGCTTCTGTGTCATTGACAAGACTTGGTATTTGTCTTTTAACTTAGGTTGTCTTTTTAACTTCCTTTGGGTACATAGTGGTGCTTCATTGTCCTAATGACTAAAGACATATATTTACTTTCCATTTGAATATCATTTTTGTGTAATCTGTTTATTTCTTTTATTCATTTCTTAATTGTTTACCTTATTAAGTCACAGCATTTTTTAATATATCTTGAATATATTTTATATATATTGAATATCTTATATATCTTTATTAGGTAAATGTTTGGCAAATACTTTTTTCCATTAAAGTAGTGTTAGGGGGAAAGGATGTACTGAGCTAATCCCATACAGGCTTTGTGGACTCCACCCTCACTCCAGACTAAAGCCATCAGGACATTGGGAAAGACAAATCCCATCACCACCCAAGGGAGGGTGGCTGGGACCTGAGGGTGGAGTTGGGCAGCCAGATTGAATATAAAAACCAAACACTTGGGCCTTGGGCTGGCTTGCTGTTGCTCACCGTCGCTCGCCTCCTGGCTACACAGCTCCTGGCTTGCAGCCAGCTCTCAGAGCGCCATTTTGGGATTCCTGATCGGGTAGGACTCATTTAAAACTTTGTCTCCCACTTTTCTCCCTGAGCTGTACATTTCCTCATTTCCCCTTCCCTTGTAAATAAACCTTTTATTAACCTTTCGCGTGTGCCTACAGTAAAGCATTGATAAGTCCTTTTAAGCGCGTGGGTGAGGACCCACAGTCAGGCACCCCGTTTTGTATTGGGGTTGCTCTACAACAGTAGCAATTCTTTTTTGTTTTTTTAGATTTATTTATTTATTTATATAAGAACTGGGGTACAGGCCAGATACACGGGAGGGTGAGAGGATTCACCAAAGACAGAGCAGGGAACAGAATAGGCAGGCTGATGAAATACAGTGCTGAGGGGAGCAGTGGGCAAGACAGGAGAGGTCTGCCGCTCCATGTAGGATCCTCGCCAGCCGGCAGGGATCAAACCGGCGCTGCAGAAGCTGCGGACAGCTTCACACTGCCGTGCTCAGCCGCCTACGCCACCAGAGGAGGCCCTAAAGTAGCAATTCTTAAGTTGGAAAGTTCAAGGAAGGCAAAGGGTCCCAGATTCAGGCATTTGAGTGACTCAGGTCAATAAATTAGCAATGAGGGTACTGAATTATAAACCTCAATCAAGCAGAAGTTCTGGTGTAACCATAGATTTGTTTTGTTTTGTTTTTTCATAATTCTAACTACAGAAGAACCACCTACAGTGCATGGATAGCCACTGTGCAGAGTTGGGGAAAAAGGGTGTCTTCTTGGAAGGAAAGAAATTACAGTTAACTTTTGAATGATGCAAGGTTTAGGGGTCCTAACCATCTGTATAGTTAAAAATTTGTGTATGGCTGGTGTCAACCAACCTTATATGAGGATTCTGTATGCAGGGATTCAACTGATATCCATTTAGCTGAATTCATTAATTCAGAGCCTTCAGGTAGAAAGAAATATCTGCCTCTAAGTGGACCCACACAGTTCAAACCCGTGTTGTTGTTTCAGGGTCTACTGTATATGGAGAAGGAGGCTGTGTCAATTCTGGCCACCAGTAGGAAGTGGAATACCACTTATGGCATGTGCCACTGGCTACTTGGGGGAGCAAATAAGAGTATGTAATTGAGGAGAAGAGATTAGTAAAAAACTACTAGGAACTTGGGATAAATGGGAATGGTGGCCATAGACCTCACGGAAAAGTTTAGTTTCCAGATAGTAAGTATTAGCAAGGGCATAGCAAATTCAGACCTATTCTGGGCAAACATTGTTAGTACAAAGGGCTAAGTCCAGCACTGATTGGATGGAAAGAGGAGGGGATGTATTTGGAAGTCTAGAGCAAAGAGGATAGAGAAGTCAAACAAGACAGTTTGCAGTTTGTTTCTCAGAAATCCTAGAAAAATGACAGAAAGGAAGAAGAGGAAGACCCACACTCGAGGGGCTGAAGTACTGGTAGAAATGAGAAGTGGAAGAAGCATCAGTCAGTTGGTCATAACTTGGTCCTCTCCTCTTGGCACATGAAGGTGCTAGGAGAGTAGCCCCAGGTGAAAGGTCAGAGTGCAGCATCATGTCTGTGAGGACCTGAGTTCACTGTCTACAAACCACATATTCCTCCAATCAGAAAGGACCCTGTAAGGTAAAAGAGACCATTTGATTGTCGTTTGTCCAGCTATTGAATATTCTCTGCTTGAATACTCACAAAGATGGAAAACATTACAACAACCTACTTTATTGCAGGTGGATGGCTCATGTGAGAACATTATATTAAGCAGAATCTGCCTCCCTCTGACTTTTCTGGGGTCTATTTTTTTTCTTTGGAACAAGCAAGTTTTCTTCCTTCTGGCAGATCTCCTCCTGTCTGAGGAGAGCAGCCACGTCACCTCATCTCTCTGTGTGGAAGCTCCATGAACACATTTCTCTCTACCCTGGTGTCTTAAATGACATTGAGTCAGCAATGCTCCTGTGAGAATATGGTGGCCAAATAATAGCTATAATACTCTAGATAGACTTTTGCTTGAAAAAACCACATAACGCTTAAGCAAGATTTTGTCATCATTTCTCTCCAGCCTCTCAAAATTTTTTTCTCTTTCATCTGGGACACATTTGAAATGAATCCTTTCTCTTCACACCCATGGCTGCAACCTTTTTTAACTATACTAAAATTATCTTCTCCTCTCACATCATTTCCTCTTTCAAATGGCCCTTTTAGAGCTACCTGTGGTTTTTTCCATCAAATTCAAGTTTCTTGATTTTAAAGTTACAGCCTAAATCCAATCATTATTTTTACTGCTTCCTGAATTTCTTGTTCTCCTTTCTCTTCCAGATCTTTGTTCTCTGCCAGCTCTGCTGACTATACTACTGATTTCACACAGAACTTCGCTTGAAATCTGCAGTCCTTTTCATTCTTCCCTCTTTTGAAGTCTCTTTTATATGACTCTTCTTGTTTAAAACTTAGAGGAAGCACACACACACACATATACACAAAATCCAAATGATCTTTTCTCCTTCAAAGTTCATGAGCATCCCCATCTTAGTGCCTTAATTTCATTCTCTGAAACACTAGTGTCAAAGATAAGTTGTTAAACAAAAATCGTACCATATATGTGTCACAAAAAATGCTAAGCCCTTTATAAATTATGTAAAGCTTAGAGAACTACAAATAAGATAGAAATAGCTCTTGAGATCATACTGGTTAACAATCGTTTCAATGAGATGAATCATACCAACAATTCAAATTATGTATAAAATTCTCAATTCAAATTATGTATAAAATTCTCAATTTATTCATATCTATTAATTCTCATTGTGAGGTAAGCCTAAGTTCAGTTCCTGAGATTTGATAAAATTCTATTTTGACCTTGTTTTAAAGAGAGAATTGTGATAAATACCCAGTAATGAGCATTTTTTATCTATATGTATTCATTCCTCTGGGTAAAAGACACGTTCCTGAAAATATCTGCATGTAGATATAAACACTAATGTATAATACTGTAAATTTTTTATCAGAATTCTTTAAATTATATCTATACGTTTTTATTGAAGTAGCTCAAAGTCCTTCCTAGTTATTTTCTTTGGAATGCCTGTAACATTCTCCTTAAGCAAATACAGAACAAAAGAAACTATATTGTCTCTTTTTTGAAAAACAGTCCTTCAAGTAGAGAGAACCAAGTCTTACCCCTATGGTCATTCTTCTTGATAGGATGATAACTTTGCTTAGGTCAAGGTCACATATTGAGGTACTGATGTGCCAAGAAAAGAAGTTAGTTTAATAATCCACCCAGGAGAGCTGGCTGACTTCCATATGTACAAAGTCAACTCCAAGACACTGCAAGTAGGATATTGACTAAGGCTGTGTTTACATAAACTCACTAAGTTTTCTACTGAAATATTTCTAGATGAAGAATCAAAACATAAACGTAATTTCCAAATGTTGGTCATATAGTCATGACCCTGGTTAGATATCACAATATAAGACTATGCAAACCTCATGGGTTTGGACAAGGGAGCAAGGGAAAAGAGTGGTGACAAGTTAAGCATTTATGAGACACCATCCAGCTCAAATCCTTCAATGAGCATCTAGGCTGGGATTAAGTCAAGAGAAAAGAATGAAGAGAAAACTCTTAAAGCCAAAGATTCCATTCCCAACTTGTTCTGAATCTACAAAGAAAGGAAGGGTCAAGGATGGTAGACCCAGTCCTGAGGCCACTGGGAATAGAGAAGCTCAGTAGGTTCTGATGACATTGAGGATCCAGTCTGTGTAGTGGGAGATCTTGGTATAGTAGCCAACGTCACCTCTCAGAGCACACCCTTTCGACCAGGACAGGATGCCATAGAGCTGATTTTGGCACAGGATTGGGGCAGCACTCATTTCCTGTTAGGAGGAGGAGAGGAAGATCAGGCAGGGTAGCCAAAACAAGGATGTCTAATAACAAGCCCTGAGCTGAGGGTCCCAGAATAAAAGGTTTCAATGATAAGGATTGGGAGAAAAATCGGGTGGGCACATTGGGCCTGTCCCAATGTGCATTCTCAGCACTCACCCAAGGTCACATCAGAGGAAGTCTGAGAAATCAGACCACTCTGAGATGTTTCCAACCTGACATCTAGGTTCATTCATGACTGGATGGAGGAAACATTCCTTCCTGGATCTCATTTACTTGGATAATCTTCTTGTAGAGACAGGAAACCAGATTGATTTGAGCGAGATAGATGGACCCAAAAATATCTCCCAGACCAAGCTTAGGAGAGGCAGAGGGAAAAGAGTTACCTTACACGGATGCCTGGGTGCCAAAGATGATCCTGCACAGAACATGTTCTCTGTGACTTGAACAGGAGTTTCACTTATGTGGGACTGTCGGCAATATTCATTAGAGAACCAAAGGACCTTCTGGTCTATCTGGACATCAGGGTATATGTCTGAGCAGGAAGAGAGAGAGAGGGTAGGGAGGGAGGAGAGGAAGATGCTTTGTTTCCCTTTAGCCCTTTACTTATCCATCTCCCTTCTCACCTTCCCTCCCTCATTTCTGTTACTAACCTCTCCATCATTCAATTAAAGAAAAAGCCAAATTAAAAAACACTCAGAGAAGAAGGAAATAGAGAAGAATTGAGAAAGTCAAACTCTGGTTCCAGTGCTATAACCTGCATGCCTGGGGCTGGTGTGTGCGTGCTTCCTTTGGTGAAGGCTTGTCAGTAAGTTTCTTTTTTTTTTTTAATTTTTAATTTTTTTTTAAACAATATTTGCTTCCTCCCACCCCCTCAGGTTGAGTCCCCATAGAATCTCCTTCCCCAAGGCACCCGTGCACCATCACCTCAGTCCCCTGTGCCCCTCCCTCCCTCCCCCCCTCAGATCCCTCTCCCTCCTCCTCCCCTGCAGGATGTCTCTGATTTGTAATTGTCTGTTTTTGCTTTGTTGTGTTTTGTACTGTTATCGTCAGTAAGTTTCTAATGAATGAGCCCCACTTAACATCACCAGTAGGGCCCTCCAACCCCTCTTCTAATCCCACCACCCACTCTTTCAACTTCACCTCAGCGATGATGGGAGGGAAAAAAAAAACCCACCAGACTCCAGAGACCTCTAGCCATAAGGTGCCATTTTACTGAGGAGTCTATCAATTGGACCTCTGTTCCATATAGAAAACTACAGTTTAAGATACGTAATTTTCAGACTCCTTTCAGCTCTCAAGATCTGTAATAATACATGATAATAATACATGATAATAATAATACATGATAATCCCCAAGGGGTGGGTTCAATGAAGACTAAGGTGATTCTTATGGTAACTTACAGGTGATCTGCCATGGCCACCCCCAGCCAGAGACAGTGCAGGTCTCCCCTTCTCTGTCATCTGTGGTATTGGGTAGAACTGCCAGTTTCACCTGATCATTGAGCTTTAAGGGATCCTTCAGCTTGATGAGCGTAAGGTCATTCTCAGCAGAATCCCGGGTGAAATTTGGGTGTTGGACAGACAAATGGTATGTGAATTTCCCCTTCACAGTATCAAAATAGTCCCTTTTGGAAGCAATGTCTATCTCAAGATATCTGGAATAGGCCATAAAGTATTAGTAGGAGAAGGTTACATTCAATTGTTCATCTTGTGTTTTTTCTCCCAAAAACTTTCTCTGCAACTTTGCAACAGTTCCCTCCATAACTTCCCAAGACACCCACCTCCTAGCCTGACAAATGAGCATTTTCCATTGCAGTTCCAGACTTCTGTGACCGAACTGCAAGGTGTACAGGGGTTTTTTCCTTATTGGTCCAGCCCCTGGTCCTCGGCTTCCCCAAGGAATCTGGCTCAGAGTCCCTTGGAACTCTCCCCACATTGGGCTAATCACTCCTCAGACTTGACAGGCCCCTGTGCAAGTCTCCTCACAACAGAGCCTCAGTCCCCCCTGAGCAATCCCAGTGGCTAAGGGTGGGAAACCTCTCCCTCCATGACCCTCATCACTCACGGCAAGAAGCAGTGGGCTGCGGTGAGAATCCACTGTTCGTGGATCAGGGTCCCCAGACAAGGCTCATTTTCTGAGTACAGGAATATCAAAAAGGTTGGCCCCGTTTTAATATTCGGCACTTCTGATGACAGGCTTGCTCTTTCTCGTCCTTGTGCTACTGACACAATAGTTGCTGTTACTGCTGCCAGGTAAGGGAAAGTGGGCAGAGTCTTAGTGATAGGGGCAGGTGCTCCAGAGGTCCAAACTCTGAGACATTTTATGTGTATGTGTTTTGAAATGACCACTTTGTTACTATTGCTTGAGGTATTATTAAACCATTTCAGAATCCTTTGCTGACTTTCCCTTAGACTCCTCTCTGTATTTACCCTCTTATTCACTTCACCTGTCTTCCCTTCCTTCCTCTGGACTTTTCCTTCTTTTCTCTTAGCTTCCTTCCTAGCTGTGCAGCAACATCCCATTCTGCTGCCGACACCACCCCCTGAGTCAGGTCTCATTCTCTCAGCCCCGATCTCCTTTTGTGCCCAAGGAGCCAGAGGAAAATCCATGGGCTCTTGAGAATACTTTGTGTTCTAAAAATCTGCCAATCACTGGAGTTCTGAAATCTTATCTAACTGATGATCTAGACCCTTTTCCTGCACTTCCCTCTAATATGAACTGTAAAAAAATTTAATCCACAATAGGAAGCTGCACTCACCAATCACTGCCAGAATGCTGAAGGCTAGAAAGTGGTGGTTCATATCTGCAGTCTCCAACCCTCTCCCAGCAAGATCACCTGGGAGGGCTGGGGGATGAGAACTGCCAACAGGCTGACCTCCTGGAAGCTTTGCAAAGGGAGAAGTTACAAGGAGGCGTGGAGAGGCTCAAGGGAGTGAGGTGCTCGGAACTAAGGGAGGAGGGCATCAGAGGGAGGACACACAGCCAGACCCTCTCTGGAGTGTCTGCCCTCCCAACGTAGTCCCAGAAATTTCTCCAAGGTGAGATGTGTGACCCCCCAGAGACATGTAGTATAAGCCAAGACTTTGCTCTCCTTTAGCAGAAAGAGAGCTCTCAGCTCGCCGGTACTACCTGCCTTCCTTGCCCTCCCCAGCATTGCTGCGGCTCTGGTTCCCTTAGGCTCACTCACCAGCCCTCACTAATTGTGGGCGGCCTCCACCTCTCAGCCTGGCAACTACCTGCCCTCGACTTAAATATGAACTAGCCCCTCTAGGAGCTAGAGACCCCTCCCTTACCACACTGAGCCTTCTCCCATGTCACACTGAGCCTTGCTCTCATGTCACACTGTCCCCATCCCATGTCATCATCCCTGTAGCCCCCAGGGATGACCACTGACCTCTCCCTGAAAATTTTCCAGTGATATCAGAGGCCACAGGTTATTCTTCTCACACAGCTCCCTCAGAGTGAAGTTGGAGGCATGTTGGGCAGAAAGTATTGGTGAACGTTTGCGGTATAGCTAATTTCCTCAAAATTTGGTTGCTTAAAATGTACACCATACCTTGCTGACAATTCTGTGGGTTGTCAAATTGGGATGCACTAAGCTGGGCAGTTGTTCTGTTCTCCACAGGGCTCAGTCGCTCATCTGTGATCAGATAGCAGCTAAAGGTACCACTAAGAAATGTGGTTGTTTCTGGTTGGAGGTTGAAGTGACAGGGCAACTAAGCATGTGTCTATCATAAACCAAAGGACTAGCCCAGGATGGCTATATGATCGATGGTAGATGCAGGATCCCCAAGGACAACATATTGGTAAGGCCCAGCGTACGAGCCCTTTTCAAACCTCCATGTATGCCAGATTTGCGAATGCCCCACAGTTCAAATCAAGTTGTGTGGCCAACCCAGGTTCACAGAGTGGAAAACAATCCACTTCTTGTTGGGAAAATGTGTACAATCATATTGCAAGGGCACAAACAAAGGAATAGTTGTTAGCCATCTCTCCAGTGCAATTTGCCATATTGCTCTTCTTTTCATTAACTTACTCTTACTTAAAAGCTGCAGTGGTTTCATTGTCCTTCACTTCAGGTGTAAAATCCTAAACCTGCATGCAAGCCCTCACTAGGTGCCTGACTCTGTAGAGGTATGTCAGAATGGACAATCAGAGTTCTTGGGCAATTGCAAACAAAGCCAGCACCCTTGGGAGGTGTGTTGATGTACTTCCTATTTCTCTCTGGCCAACTCTGGTTTCTGTGTGTCCTAAGTTCTCTTCCACGATTGACTGTGGACTATGACTTTTAGCCCCTTAGCTTGGTCCACAAAACACACACTGAACATTTCTCATTAGATCCCAAGGTACCAACTTCTGTCCTGCATTGGACAGTGTCTTCTCCTGGCTTCTTGTCAAAGCCTCTAAGATCATGTGTGTCCCTGCTGGTGAGCAGTGACTGAATCCTCCCTCTGGCCTTACATGAAACTGGCCTTACTTTGAATCTATTCCTCTGACTGCCTGCAAGTCCTTAACTATACTTCCAGTGTTCAGAGCCACAGGAGAGGATTCAATCCATCCTCTAATCTGACCACAGCTCTCTCTGCACTGAGGAAGATACTTTGTGGCTCCCCATCGGTGCCTCCCACCGAAGCTCCACTTGTTCAGTGTAGGTTCAAGAGACCCTCGTATTCCAACTTGAGCCCGCTCACCTGACACCCCAGTTCCTGGTGCATTATTTCTCTCTTCTCTCTGTGGGTTTGCCACCCCAGGCCAGCCAGTTTCTCCATTTTCCTTCACATGGACCATTTCCATACGTGTGTGCTTTCCTTCTTTGGGCATGTGGACAGACACATTCGGGGGCACCTACCTTACCCATTCCTTGAAAGAGAGTCTGCCCTGCCCACAACCCTTGCCGAGTGGCTCACACTTGATGTCAGTGGGCCAGAACCTGGTTCTCAGAGATACCTCCTGAGCCAATTTAGTTTTATTGATATTCCAGTGCTCAGTCTCAGTTCTGCCTGATCTGAGTCTGAAAATTTGCCGGTGATATCAGAGGCACATAGCTTATTCTTCTCACACAGCTCTATGCTGAGTGAAAGTAGCCAGATCAAAAAGGGACTATTTCATATGATTCTATTTGTCTAAAGCCCTAGTAAATGTAATTACCCCACTGTGACATAAAAGGGATCAGTGGTTGCAGGACAGGTTGCAGGACTTCTCTCAGGACAGGTCATTCTAGAGCCTCTCTATGTGCTTCTGGATGGGACTTACAAAGTTCCATTTACCTGATTCATGACCTTAACTCCCTTAAGGGCAGAGTTTCTGCCTGATTCAACTCTGTATTTCAGACCCCAGCATAATACCTGCCACCACATAGTAGAGTTTGTACACCTGTTTATCTCCTGAATTAAAACTCTCAACACCCTGTCACACAGACATAGAATACTCCGGGTATTCTAAGTTCCCTGACTTGACTAGGTCACATCCTGTGAGTTGCAGAGGAAATAGCATAACCATGTTACTGTCTTTGATCCAAGCGTCAGTGTTGCACATCAGTGGCTTGAGATTAACCTTTATTTTTTCAACAACTTGATTGAAGTATAATGACACACAGTAAACTGCATATATTACAGTGTATGATTTGGTAAATTAGTGCACATGATACAAAAAGATTCCTTTAGGCTTTTGAATCCTCTTTCTTTCCCTCCCACCCACAACCCTGTCATGGGAAACCACTGATCCCCTTTATGTCACAGTAGGGTAACTACATTTACTTGGGCTTTAGAGAAATAGAATCATATAAAGTGTCCCTTTTTTGATTTGGCTACTTTCACTCAGCATAAATGAGCTTCATTCATGTGTGTTGAGTTCATTTATTTTCACTGCTGAACATTATCCAAATATTCATGTACCAAAATTTGTTTACATATCTGTTAATGGGCATTTGGGTTCTTTCCATTTGGGGATGTTAAAGCTTCTATGAACACTCAAGATGTAGGTCATTATGGATACGTATACGTCTCAGTTAGACATGTTTCCTTTAGGGTAAATAACCAGCAGTGTAATGGGTGGATCATAGGTAGCTGGTGTATGTTTATCTTTTAAAGCAACTGCTCAATTATTTTCCAAAATATTTTACATTCTCACCAGAAGTGTATGAGAGGTTCAGTTCCTCTGTATCTTTGCAACACTCGATGTGCTGAGTCTTATTTGTAGTAAGTTTAAAAATTGAGAGATAGGGCCTCCCCAGTGGCACAGTGGTTGAGCGCTGGGTTGCGAAGCTGCCCGCAGCCTCTGCAGTGCTGGTTCGATCCCCGGCTGCTCCCTGGCCACCGGAGGAGGGTCCCACATGGCGCGCAGACCTCTCCTGCCACCCGCTGCTCCCCTCAACAGTGTATCTGTCCTTCTGCCTGCTCTGCTCCCCACTCTGGCTCTGGTGAATTCTCTCACCCTCCTGCGCTTCTGACTGTACCCAGTGCTTGTATAAATGAATAAATGAACGAATGAAAGAATGAATGAATGAATAAAACAAACAAACAAACAAACAAATAAATAAATAAATCTTAAAAAAAATTGAGAGATAGTTGACACCTATCTTTTCACTGGTTTTAGGTATATGTGTGCTCAGTCTTAATTTCAACTCTCATAACTGAAATAGCTTTTGATTTTGGTTTTAAGTTGCATTTCTCTGATGACTAATGAAGCTGTACTTACTTGACATCCAAATACCTTCTTTGGTAAGGTTTCTGTTCAAATATTTTACCCATTACAAAACTAGGTTTCGTCTTTCCTTGTCATTAAGAGGTGAAGAGTTTTTATATATTTGGATAGATTCCTCACAGTACTCCCAACAACTGGACGGTGAACTCTATGAACTCCATAGCCGCATCCTCTCACCTCTTCCATAACCTGTTTGTTTCCAACCTTCCAATCATCCTCCTCCCAAACCCTGCCAAAGCAGTCACACTATTCATCACTGACAGGATTCCTATATTTTTTTTTTATTTCAGGCTAGTTCTCTTTCCACAGAAACTTAAAGACCAAGTGTACTCACCAAGAAAGTTGCCCTTCATGGTGTCTAGGGCCATCTTTGAATGGATGACATGTAGGGGTCCATTTCTGCCGTTTTTACATGCTGAGCTGGCCCATCTGTGTACTAAGCACAGGTTTTTTTCCTGTTCCAGGAGCTGGTCATAAGGGAACCTTCCTGTGCCCATCTGTCCTTACTTGTGCCCCCTGACTCTGCTCAGGGCCCATCCTAGATGTATCACTTCCATCTTACTGTGAACTGCTGGGCTCACATGACCATAAGCTGGGCTTATGGCCTACTGGCTCTGTCAGGACACACATTATGATGAACTGTCCTGTCTATGTGAACCCTGAATGTCCCAAGATCAGGCTCTCTCCTTCCACCAGGGCCCAGTAGCATATCATGAACTATTTATTGAATGGTCTCTGCTGTAGATGGCATGACATTGTTCTAGAACTCTATAGCCTATGTGATAATTATCTTACTAAGGCTTGCTTTAAACTCCTCAGACTGTTTCTTCCCACTACAGATCCTTCTAATAGCACAGGTCTGCCAGTCATATGGCCCTAGTAGCAAGGTTCACAGCTTGAGACTCTTCAGAGACTTTTCCTGCTCTGGACCTCATCAAAGCTGGCAGCCTTCCATGCCACTTAGCAAATGATGCCTGGCATGCCCTGTACCACTAGATATTAGCTATAACATGCCATCAGTCAGGGTTCTACAGAAAATAGACATGTATTAAAACTGAGTAATTTGAAGAGCATTTTCTAAGTTGTAGAAGGTATTTATAGAAACCAGTAAGGGATGGTGCAGTCCCCAGGACTTGGAGTGGGGGTAGCATTAACACTCTATTTGAAGACCAAGGGGCTTGAGGTGTTTGTTTCCAGAGCTGGGAGAGAGGAGGTTAGCTGTATGGAGGGGATTGCCTGAGCAGAGAGTTTGCAGCCAAGAGAGCTGACAGCAAAGGAGCCAAGGGAAGAAATAACCCAAACCTTGTCTCCAACTCCTACTGTGAACTGGGCATGAAGGGAGGCAGCTGGCATCTATGTGTCAGCCTTCTGGGGACACAGCACAGGGCAGAGCTGGGAGAGAGTCTGGAGGTGCTAATGAATGAGACCAGAAAGCTAGTTCATCCTAGGTATGGTTAGTGCTTAACTGTTAGGAATGTGGTCAAGAGACATGAAAAGCTCAGGGCCCTAACATTCTGCTAGCCACCCTGAGCCCATTCCTGTCCAGCCCACAGCCCCTGCAGGTCTTTTAGTTCCCTCCACTGTCAAGGAAAGGACATGTAGTAATGTTATAGAAAGGAGGACATGTGAAGTCATTGACTTAGTCAGGTATTAGAACTTTCCCACCTCAGAGCAGTGGATAAACACCTAGACAATAGGGAAGTGTCCTGTAATTGAACTCTAAGCTTCAGGTTCCCTGATTTGCATAGGACTCTGAGCTTGGGAGTTGCTGGGGGTCATGGGATGTTCTAAGTGGCGAGGGAAGTCAGCTTACATGTCTACTTAGCATTTCTGGAAAATTGCCTAGAGAAGTGTCAATTAGGGAATTTACTAGGGAAAACAAAGGTATTTCTACCTTTGCCGTAGAAAAGAGATAAGGGGATTAGGTCTTCATGAAATAGACCCTTACAGAGAGAAGTTTAGAAAGAAACATCAAAAGAAGCCTCCACCAGCTTTCAGAGCTCTTCCCATGAAAGAAACCTCTTGCCAAAAACATGTTTTGGGGGTGGCAGATTTTTTTGTCCCCTAAAGAATGCAAGCAGGAGTGACTTATGTGTCGTTTGGGGGTAAAAGTATCAAAGGAGTGTGTACACCTGCTTCACTCTCTGCCTCCAGTACATGTTAACCTCATGTGCTGAAGATGGTTAGGCACTGCCCCATTCCAGTCTGACACTGACCAGGAACCCCTTTATGAAACTTAGTTTACTCAGAAATAAAATTCATATTACTCAAATTTGAGGGCTTTCTTGTTAGAGTAGCTACTGTAACCTCAAATGACACAAGTCACATGACTTACCCTTTGAGGATCACTTTGACCTCTGAGTGGAGAATAACCTGGAGTGGATGGGGATGGTGGCAAGGGCGGGAGCAGAGAGGCTGGTTTGGTAGTCCTAATGGTACTGGTGGTGTTAGGGGGAAATGATGTCCTGAGTTAATCCCATACAGGCTTTGTGGACCCCACCCCCACTCCAGACTAAAGCCATCAAGAAAGTTTTAAATGAGTCCTACCCAATCCGCCAATCAGGAATCCCAAAATGGCACTCTGAGAGCTGGCCGCCAGCCAGGAGCCGTGAAGCCAGGAGGCGAGCGATAGCCAGTGCCCCAAGGCCCACGTGTTTGGTTTTTATATCCAACCTGGCTGCCCAACTCCACCCTCAGGTCCCAGCCACCTTCCCTTTGGTGGTGATGGGATTTGTCTTTCCCAATGTCTTGATGGCTTTAGTCTGGAGTGGGGGTGGGGTCCACAAAGCCTGTATGGGATTAACTCAGGACATCATTTCCCCCTAACAGTGGTGGCTTACATCAGGCACTGTGAGTGGTGGAAGTGGAGATATACATATATTTGGAAGAATTTCCCCCCGAAACAAAAGGTGTGCAAACAACAAGATTGGATGTCAGGTATGACTGGAGACAGAAACCAAGGACTGCAAAATCTTCAGCTTGAACCTGTTGTCAGATTTGGAGTCTATGTGTTTGGAGTGCAGGGTCCTTGGGTTACTCTGGGAAAGCTTTCACCAGAGCTCCCCGTTTCAGCAGCATGCAGTGAGTTTCCCGGGCGAGTTTCTCCACAAGACAGAGATGTTAGTAATATTTAAAGGGCAGGTTTATTAGGGAAAGGGACCGAAGAATAAAGGACACTTGCATAGACATAAGAGGGCAGGAAGAGCTGCCCCAAAAGGGACAGGTTTGCAGAGAGAGGCCTGCATGGTTGCAGGTGGGAGGCCTTGAGGAGAGCGGCCTCCGCTGAGGGAGGTCAGTGAAGAGAAGTCCAGGCAGGTACAAGTCATGTCACGGGCAGGCAGGAAGTGCTGCCCTGCAGAGGGAGAGAGTTGGTGAAAAGAGACACCTGCATAGGCACAGGTGGACAGTGGGAGTGCTGCCCCCAGCCTGTGCAGGGACTGCACTGATACAGTCCTCTTCTGTTTGGGAGGAGTCACTCCTCCATGGAGTGGCCTGTTTGTTGCTGATTTGGGATAACAGGCAACACCAGTGAGGGACCAGAAATTCCAGGGTGGGCCCAATCTCCATATCTTTACCCTCAGGTCTGTGCTCCACTCCCTAGAGCAGTCTGATCCTGCTTGGGTCTTAGGCCTTGTGATTAGGCATTGGTGCCTAAGGGTCTGACCTCTACAGCCAGGTTAATGGTCATGTTATTTCCCTCTACCCCCATCTCCTTGTGAGTCAGGTTCTGGTCTTGGGGCACCTCCTTTCCAGTCTTTCTAGTTTTTTCCTCCATCAAACTCACTGGGGGAGAAAAAAAATGACACAGAGAGAGAGACCTCTTTTTCTGAGATGGAAACTGGAACTCTCAAATCTTTCTTTGCTTGCAGTTCTCCCATTCAGCTCAATTTACCCCAAAATGACCACCACATTCTTCACTATCTGTGGACTCATCCCCACACATTCTTCACTCAAACATGTTCAAAGAAAAATTTGTTCTACACTTTCTCAGTCTGAATGTAAGAGGAATTGCAACATTGAGTAGCATGGGAAGGAAAACCATTCCCCCCATTTCTACTATCACACAATTTGCATTATGACTCCTGGCATTGGGGCCTCTTTGGTGGTGCAAGGGGTTAAGCACAGCACTGTGAAGCTATTTGCAGCCACTGCTGCATGAGTTCCATCCCCGGTCAGCCAGGGAGAAACCAACATGGCACAGCAGACCTCTCGATTTGCCCGCTGCTCCCCTCAGCAGTGTATTTCGTCAGTCTGCCTGTTCTGTTCCCCGCTCTGTGCTGGTGAATCCTCTCACCCCCCGCACCTTTGACCTGTACCCCAGTTCTTATATGCATAAATAAATCATTTAAAAAAATAACTCTTGGCATGCTGTGAACTAGATTTCCTGAACAGGAGACTGCTGGGAAGGAAGAAGCAACTGGATGATCATGTTGAATGGGGAAAGGACTGAAACCATATTGGTGGATGCTTCTGGTCTTTCCTCTTTGCAGCTTTAGCACTTTGGCAGGTGACTCTGTAACTCTCTCTTGAGTGACTATGGTGACCGCCATCTTGCCCTTGGCTAGATTCCTCTGGGGCAGTACATTTTGAATTTTGGTTCTCTCCTCTTGTTATAGGACAGGGAGAGGGGCAGCCCAAACCCCGCAAACCTGCCTATTCTACATGGGTTCTGCCATCCGCCGCATCAACACAAAACATAGGAGACTTTAATGGGAAGGAACTTTAATAAAACTAGGAAACAATACAGGTAAGGCAAAGAGTCTAGTTTCTAAATGAAGCACCCAAAGTTACCCGTCCCCTCGTGGGTAAAAGTCCATCCATATGGGATTGGCCCAGAACAAGGCCCCAAAGCCTGCTACAAGTCTAAAGCATCTTCCAGTGGGGACCCACAGAAAAGGGTCACAAACAACTGGACAAGCCCGGAAGGAAAAGAGCAAAATCAACATCAAGATAAAAGCTGCCATTGTCACCTCCCCACGGGTCTCACCCACATCTGTGTCACCTAGTCCATGACCCAAAGACAAGCGCAGTTTCTTCACGTGTCTCTAGGCTCCATGTGCCTCCTCCAGGTCTCCTGGCTCCATCCTGCTTCCTTCCTTCCTCAGTCTCTTCTGCAGCTTCTCCTCTTCCTGCTCAGCTCCACCCTCCCTTGGGAGGGGCAGGGAACCTCCCCCTTTCCTGGGGACCACCCTGCTACAATCCCCCCTTTTAATTTTTATTCCACCATATCTATGGTGGCACAATCTCAGGGTGTAGTCTTAGGAGACAGTCTTTTTTAGGGTTACAATGTGTGTAAGAGAAGCAACAATTAGTCAGCAGCATTGTCCATGAATGTCCAGTATGACAGTTTCATTACTTAAAATAGTCCATTATCCAAGCCAAAAGAAAAAAAATTTGGAGCATTGGCTAAAACAAGATAGCAAATATATCAAAATCACAGGGAAAAAATGTTAAAATGGTTCAACTTATGCAAAAACGAATTCTCTCAACCTTGATCCCAAACTTTTAACAGCAAAGCAAAAGTTTGCAAACTAAATCTACTTTTAAACCATTTTT